ATATAGTTATTAGAATAAGATAGCAAAAACGTTTACAAATAACAATTTATGCATAAAGCTAACCAAACAATTTCAACAGGTTTCCACTTTTGGCTCCCAAACACAGCAAAGCATCATGAAAGTTTAATATCCTCAAAGTATTTGCATGGACCTGTATTTAAAATTTATTTGGTTTGATTTCATACACTTTTCTTTTGTTATGTTATGTTAATGGGAAGCAGTGGTTGTTAAAGTTTGTGCTTCTAAACAGTTAACAAGAGTGATATTGGTATCACAAGCAAATTAACTCTAAAAAGCGTGGTAAAAATTATGTTATTGACTCTTTTGCTAGCAGAATGTTCAGCGGGGGGAAAAAAGCAATGCACCTTCTCACAGAAGATTGTGAGCATTTATTTTAGCAGTTAAGCATTTAGTATAAAATATTAGTAATGCACCTCAAATGAAAATGAATGTCTATACAATTGCAAAAGTGTAGCTTGTGTTATAAAAGACTCCGTCCCTATTACATTGTCCCTATTACACTGTAAACAAACTAAGTTAAACTTTGTATTAAGTTTGGGTTACTGAAAACAAAAACAAAACAAAAATTTTTACTATGTTAACTAACAAAAGTTGTTTAAGTTGCATTCCACAGACCAAAGACACCAGAAAATATCACACCCAGAAGACACCAGAAAATATCTGTACACAGTGAAAAAAAACCCAAGCATCAAAAAAAGAAAAATGAAGTGCTTTATAAATAAGAGACTGGTCAAATACACCTCTTATCTACCATATATGGACAATTACGTTAACAATCAGCTAAAAACCACTAGCTGGACCAGGATAAACTGTCATTTAATTTCAACTTGGTTACTGTGTAAAAACAACTGTATTATTGCTGTACTACTGTATTATTGTTGTACTGTTGTATTATTGCGGTATTGTATTATTGCTGTACAACATTTACAATGTGCATAACCTTGCTAAACTGTTTAACCAACACACAGGTAAAAATCAACAAACAAAAGGCAGCAAACATGAAGGCAAGGAGAAACAAATTCGTTAAAAAAAAATTGTTACATGGCAACTACAAATTAGGTATATAAATTCCCTGTTAGTACCGGTCACAATTTGGGATCAGTAACACTGCATCCTAACTGAGGCACATGTTATTCAAAACAGTTTTGTTCAGTGTCTGGGTACAAATACCAAATCCTGACACAGCAATATTTGAGAAATTGGTTACTGTCCATTCAGTAGGTTTTCTGAAAAACATCATCCATAAAAACAACTGGATCTATGTCAGCTACTGGCGCATCACGGGGGCAATGGAACCCATGGAACAGAGAAGCTAGCCATTCCTATTTCCTGCCCAGCAAAGCTTACCAGAGGGCGATGACCAGCAGTAAGGGTAACCCACAACATGAATGCCCAGTACTGGGTAGTAACTAATTACAAGACATTTGTATATAAAGGCCTCATTTGTAGTGTCACTACTCCAAATTTCTGTTTTACTTCTCAGATGCATAATACCGTGGAACACACTATAACAATGCCTATCCCAGTATTTCAAAACACTCAGCCTACTACTAATGATGATACAGGTGATAACTGCAACTGCCCTAATAGGAGTGTGTTTCTATCTGTGGCACCAAAGTAAAAAGGCCAGAGTACAACACCAGACTGGAAAAACATGGTTATGCTTGCATATAAGGTGGTGTCATATGTACATATACATACTATACATATATACCCATATACACTACAAATATATATGCCATATCCATATTATTCATATATATTAATTATTTGGGAGTGCCTCTAAGGCTCAGTTATAATACTACATTCCTCAGTCATGGTCCCTGGCCTAACATTCCCAGGCCCACTGTAAGGGACTATCATCAATTGGAAAATAAAATCTGTCCATCAGTCGTTTGACGGAATGTGCAGACTAAAGACAGGTGGGGCATGAGTGTATGGATGGTAAAATAAGATAACCACATAACCGTGTTTAGCCCACTGGGTTATCTTTAGTCCATGCATTATGCTTTTCTGGGATGATGGGTAAACATCCTCCCCATAGAAAGACAAAAAGTGGGGGAATATAGTAAGATGAGGCCCTGAAACATAAACCCTTTTATCAGAGGCCCAGTATGAGGCCTGAACTAAAGTAATGGTCAAGACTTTTCTAACATAAAGCAAAGTTAAGCTGTGAGCCAGAGGCAAGCCCCGTTCACAGAAGTTGGCAAGACGGCAGCTGCTTATTGCACATATACATGTGCCAGGATGGCACCAGAATATGCCGGTAAGAACACATTCCACAGAGACAATGAGGAACAGGCTGACCTATCCTAAAGACAAGGTCAAAAGGATAATATGATGGACAGAGTTGTTTGTTCGAACCAACATGAGGAGAGAAACAGCACCGTAACACGTAGAGGGGTTGTACCACAATGCATCTGGAGTGATGTGTAACTTGTTTGCACCTGTGTATAATAATGCATCCCTGAGTGGATATCTTTGTCTGGCCTAGGGGACAGTGGTAAGTCCCACCACTAACTGAGCCGGTCCATTGTCAGGGGGCACGTATTCGAGTATGTCCTGTAGAGTCTATGGGAAACTATTACTGTGCTTCGTTTGGCAATAAATCTGGCCGGGTGCCTTCATACCTTAACAGAGTCTGTGGTCATTGGGGGTTCTCTCAGGGCCTGCTGTGTCAGCAATCTGCAGAGTCGGGGCAGCACACAGAGGGAACACACGCACGCAGCTGACTGTTATCAACATTGAACAGAGCAGAGCAACACACCGGTGGCATCTGACGACAATCAACTCCCAACATTCCACTGCTATTTAGCAAATAACTGTGAGAAACACTGGAAAAATGTGTCATATTCCCCTCTAGTGGTAGGTTCATATAGAGGACAGCAGCCTACTTATGCTATCTGGTAACCCTTTAGTTCAAGCAGCAGAGTCTGTGCTGCAGATCTAAAAATCTTGGGTTTAACCCATGCTTATGCCCTATGCAGGTGGGGGACTCAATATGGTTCTATACAATGGAATTTTGGGGGAAGGACAGTGTTATACCTAGGAAATTATAGATTAAAAAAAAAACTACCGTGAAGAATATTAAAACCACAAATTCAATCAGTCAAAGGTTAGGAAATACTAAGAAACAAGAGCAGGAACAGACAAATTGCTAAACAAATATCTATGTGAAAAATGCATTAAAGAAATAACAATATTCTACAAGAAGGCCCTAATCCTGCAATGAGCTCCATGGAAGACTGAACCCATGTAGTGATCCAGTGACTTTAGTGGCACTTCACATGGGTGTAGAGGTTGGCCTATGCAGAGCTCATTGCAGGATCAGGACATAAGTTTCCACAACAATACAGCATATAATAGGATTTTCTGCAATGTTTGGGACCATCATGTTATTATACTAGAGCATTTTTATTTTTTAAGGATGGGAAGATCTTCAAAGAAAAATAGAGAAATAAAATATGAAAGTGAAGCAGAACTGGGTCCAAACATAGAGCCCTTTGAAGTTATTTTTATTAGATGTCAGTAGCTGTTTAAGAAATTACAAGCACAAATTATTTTCCTTTGTATCCCCTCCATGTTATTAAACTACCAGTTACAGAACAACAGTGTTCATGTTACTGATGAATCCTCTTCCATCTGAAACACTGCTGGTTTCATCTACCCTTTCTTCTCAATAGGGCTGAATTCATCAGTAAAATTTGCCACAGCAGAACTTAACAATCTCTCTTTATATCCATGTTTAGCAATGTAAAAATATTGGTCCAAATTCTGCTTTCACTTCCACCAATACCACCTCATACACATGAACAGAATTACATTGGTGTAACAGAAGAGAATTGTGCCCTTTTTCAATAATCTTTGCAAGTCCTCTTAAAATGTGTCCATTCATCTGTTTATCCATGTGGTGTGTTCACTGCAAACACATTACAGTCACATGTGCGACAGAAAGAAAATGGAGAAAACAGCAGAGTGCCTAGTTAGACAAGAAAAATCATAGCAGATCTTTACATTGTGTGCAAAAGGGCAGCATGTGTGTATTATAGCTAGACATTACTTGTATTCTGATAAGTGTCCACAACATTCTCCTCAAACAACACAGGAAAGTACAGACCAGGGATAGGCACTCACACTGCCCCGGTCCTGGCCACCGGTCTGCGAGGGCTCTGCATTTTAATTTAATTTTAAATGAAGCTTCTTAAACATTTTAAAAAACCTTATTTACTGTACATACAACAATAGTTTAGTTATATGTATATATACATACATATAGAAAGAGACCGTCTAAAAACGTTAAAATGTATTGCTGGCACGCAAAATCTTAAATTAGAGTGAATAAATGAAGACCCGGCACACCACTTCTGAGAGGTTGCCAACCCCTGGTATACACGGTAGCCTGAAGAACTTGCAGTCTAATAGCCTGCTGCTTCAAGAGGTTCTTTGTACGCCAGGAGATCACGCCTGACCATTCAGGGTCCAGCACATCACTGATTACCGCTGCTGGTAGGACACCAACGGGCAGCAGCCAGTAAAACACAGGGCTCCGCTTTTAGCCCCGCACCCCTCCAAAGAGTGTGCTGGGGTGCGCATGGGGCGAGGAAGGGGTTCGCCCCCCCCCGCGTGCCCAGAAACGGGGAGAGGTATGGAAACGCCCAGGCGCTAAGGAGGGATGTTTTGTATCACCTACTAGATCATGGCGGGGGGCGGGGGGGAGGTGCAGTGAACGCGGGGGAGGGGCCGTCATCCCGCAGGGTGCTGCGCGAGCGTGGAGGGTGGACACGTCACTGACCCCCATTTAACACGGCAGAGGCGGCGAACGTCCCTGAGCCCCCCTTCCCCCACCCTCCTGTAACCATGGCACCAGCCAACCAGGGCGCGAGGGCCACCTCCAACCCCCCGAGTTACCGGGGCACTGCCGGTCCAGTCTGCCCCGCTCAGCCAGACAGACCCGCTCCCCCGAACCTCGCTCCGCTCACCCTTGCGGCGGCGCTCGACCCCGCACTGCCGGAAGTGCTGCCTGCACCGGAAGCGGCCGCGCGAGCAGAGCATGGTGGGAGATGTAGTTCTCTCCTCCGCCTGAGGCACCCCCCTGTTCCCACCCTGAGCGCGCGCTCGTTCGCCCTGAGCCCCTGACAGCGCCATCCCCCAGGTAGCTGAGTCCTTCCGCGGCGGGCCGGGGCTGTGTGACACGCGGGAGGCCTTTCCGCCCCCAAGGCAGTGACGTCACGGGGGTCCCGCTTGACATCACCAGGGTGACACGACGAGGAAAGCAAAAAGAAAAGGAGGACTTGTGGCACCTTAGAGACTAACCAATTTATTTGAGCATGAGCTTTCGTGAGCTACAGCTCACTTCATCGGATGCATACCGTGGAAACTGCAGCAGATATTATATACACAGAGAGATCATGAAACAATACCTCCTCCCACCCCACTGTCCTGCTGGTAATAGCTTATCTAAAGTGATCATCAAGTTGGGCCATTTCCAGCACAAATCCAGGTTTCCTCACCCTCCACCCCCACAAACTCACTCTCCTGCTGGTAATAGCCCATCCAAAGTGACAACTCTCTTCATAATGTGCATGATAATCAAGGTGGGCCATTTCCTGCACAAATCCAGGTTCTCTCACCCCCTCACCCCCCTCCAAAAACCACACACACAAACTCACTATCCTGCTGGTAATAGCAAAGTGCCTCTTGCCCCTCTACCTCCACTCTGCACCCTCGGCTCCGCCCCTCCCCCTGGCCACACGCAGGAGCGCCCGGCGCTGGGCTCCCGCTGCGTGCACACGCGGTGGCTGTGACGTGACGGTATCCCCGTCCCCATCCCTGCTCGTCTGCTGGTGGCAGCGCGCTGGGCCCCGGGCCGCCCCCTGCTGCGCCTCTGGGCCCCGGGGCAGGCGGGGGCCAGAGACAGCTGCATCGCCGCCGTGGCACACCAGCTCCGGGGCCCACGAAATGCGCCCCAGGAGGGCTCAGCGCTGCCCCAAACCCTGCGGCAGAGAACTAGGCCGGCCAACCCAGCTCCAGGATTGTCCGGGAGGCTCCAGGAATTAAAGATTCTCTCATGTGATGAAAGCTCCAGACAGATGGTCACCTGACACTGACACCCCTACAGCGCGTAGGGCAGGGCCCTGCCCTGGGCCTCGGAATCGGGGGTGCACCTGGCAGGTGCGGCCCCGCAGCCTCAGCATGGGGGCAGATTGCAGCAGCCTGGTGCATGGAAGCACCATAGGGTCCCCATTAGTCCTGCAAGGTCTCATCCCACCTGAAAATGGTAGGGTATGAGCCTCCCTCTTTTTCCTAAAGGGGGAAATACTCAATGGAGCGGTGTTGGGGGCTCTGCTGCTATGGCAGCTTCAGGTTCTGTCACAGACCTGAGCTTGGCCTCCAAGAGCCCTTCCCCACAGAGCCCGGCTGCTAAGGGCTCCCTCTGCTCCAGCAGACTTGGAGGCAATGGGGACAGGCGGCCGAGGGGTGACAAGTACAGTAGCTAGCAGTGCCCAGAGACCACTGGGAAACCAGTGCTTCCTCCAGACCCAATCTGTTGATGAGCAGGGCAGTCTGGCCCCTCTCTGCCAGGAATATTGTTTGAAAGTGGCTCCCTCATAAGAAGTGGGGTCTTCAGCAATGAAGGACTTCCACCCCCCCCCCCCAAAAGACCCAGAGCACTGCCGGGTAAGTAAACATTTAAAAGTCGCCAAGTAATTAAAAAGGCAACACTTCTGCTCGGTGGGGGAGCAGCTGCTGCCCTGCTCCCCCACTAGCTACACTACTGGGTGTAGGGTAGAAGTGGTCCCCAACCAAAGTCCTGGACCTCAGCACCCTTAAACTTTGGATCCAGATCCAAACGTCTCCACTTCCCCCGGCAAGTGGATAGGGGGAAAATCACCCTGGCCACAACCAAAGTAATTGTCCCTATGCAGTCCCCAGTGCACAGGGCAAGAATGAGGCCCATCTGTGCATTTCATAGCACATTACAAAGCAGCCCACAGTTATTCCAGTGTTATTGACATCTTTTTAGGATCATAAACAAGCGCCATTAGCTTCCCCAGGTGTAACGGGCACAGCCAGATTCCTGCCACCTCTTCTTCACAAGGACTGTAATCATATGCGTTTGAACAGTGCCCAATGCAATCCTGGGGCCTGATCCTGACAGACCTGTAGGTACTAACACAATTCAAATAATGGAAATATGCCCACTTTGTCTATATACAGGAACTGTTACCATGATATTGAAAGATTCAGTTCACACTCCCAAGCCCACAGTGAACTATCACATATCAGAGGCCCGTCTGTGAGCAGCAATCCCACACCAAGGTTCACTGCGTCATTGCTGGACATTCATCTGTCACACCAACAGACAGATTGTCCTCAGTGTCTGCTCCTCCAGGAAGCTGTTCCTTTGTCCTGGAGCAGACAGACAGCAGAAACAGTGACCCACCAGCTCTGAAGTTGAAAAAATTCAGAGAGAACATTAATAATAACAACACAGTAGCTCTTCATTCTCTCCTTCCCGATCAGCCCAACTGCATCCAGCTCACCCTAAAAGTAGTATAATAAATAATTTATAATAAAGATATAAAAATAGGGTTCAGAATACCCTGAAAGGAATAATGTAATTAAAAATAACTAGTAAGCATTAAGGCTAAGAATAAAGAGCAAATGCTAATTACAATCCATGGTAAATGCTAATAAGAATAATGAATATTGAATGATAATAGTAAATAGTCAATTCTAATATTATTGTTCATAATAAAAATAAATAGTGAATGCTAATAATAATAAAACACAGACTTGAATCCTATAGACTGTTAATAGAAATCAGGGCAGCCTTGCAGGTAGTCTCTGTCCTGGAGGTGTTTAGGCTCTGTGTTCCTGTGTGGGAATGGGGACATGGGCCGCAGGGGCTCTTAGCAGGACTGAAGAAGATAGAAAGCCAAATCAAGACTATATCCTGGGGCTTTGGACCTCTCATCTCCCACTTAGGGGCTTGCACATTGGCTTCAAAGGGACAGGAAAATCTCTCTCCCCCAGTAACAGGCTCCTTTGCAAACTGGATCCTGTTTGAGAGCAGATGGTCCCATATTCTTAAGGGGATCATTTGATCATGACTTGGGTCTAAAGTGATCCACCCCACTTCTCATGGGTGCATCATAAGCTCCACTTCACCTGGGCATGTGTGGCTCTGCTAGGGGCCAGATCCCAGTCTGAGGAGCCAGTGATACAGCCTGTGACAACCATTTCAGGGAGGGAGGCCTGAGAGTCTTTACTCCACCTCTCCCAGGATTGTAAGCGTGAGACATCTGTCACCGCCCCGCCACCATCCTGGGAGGAGCAGCCAGCTCCTCTCCGTACCCCTCAGGAATTTGTGCTGGGCCCACCCACCAATCCTGCTTCTACAATGGGGTTCAGGCAAGTAGTAGGCCACTTCTCCCCCAAGCCCTCAGCACCTTTTGGGGATGGCCATCCCATTCTACAGCAGAGGATCCACCTGGCACAGCCCCTGCAGCCCCCCACTGCCTCCCAGCAGGCTCTTGGGACTAGGATACCCCCAGAGGCTTTGTGCAGGGCCAGTTTTAGGGATGGTCAGTCAGGGTGGTTGCTTGGGCATCAACTTCCAGAGGGTGAAACATTAGTCATCCATTTTTTTGGTTTGGGGTTTTTTTGCTTGGTCACTCGGGCACCTTCCTGAGTGGCAAAACACCTAGGGCTGGCCCTCATGGCCCCATAGTGAAGGCTTAGATGATGGGTGTCCTGAAAGGACCAGTCATTCCAGTGATCAGCAGGAGAAGGCGCTGCAGACAATCCCCCCAGCCAGGGAACCCCACAGGAGAGAGAGGCAAGAAACAACAGGGGATCCTGGTGGGGCCAAACCAGCTACTAGAGCAGAGAAGAAACCACTGGAGACACACTGTCCCACCCCATGTGACGAGGCTCTGGGGGCAGCAATGCTGAGAGGGACCAGGAATAGGCAGAGCAGGGAGCACATCTGGTTACAATCCCATATGGGAGCCACACAAGGCCGGTGCAACTGAGGCCTGGATCTCAGCTGAAGCCTCTATGAGGTATCGAATTATTAATAATCATCTTTGCACAACCTGAGTGGGAATCCACTGTACTGTGCTGAGGGCAGAATTTTCTCAGTTCAAAACGTTACAGCTTATAATAGTTATTGTGATGTTTGGTGCCAGTAAAGAATTATGTTTTACAGAACAAGAGTACCTTCAAAGCAACGTCATCATGATGTAATATGATGGTGGGGCCTACAAGGGGATCAAACCAACATATTGGCATTATCAGCATCACACTAATCATATTGTGATATAACAGTGCAATGTCCTCAAAAAATTTGTGGGCCATTTCCAACTGGGATCATCCCACAAAGTTCAGGATGGGGGCAACCACGCCCTGTGATATTTCCTACAGTCACAAGCCAAATTACTTTCAGCTCTCTTAATTTCTAGCCTATGCATATCAACTATCTGCCCCCAAATTCTGAGCTTGGTAGTACTGGAGTTTGATTGAAAAGGGCAGTAGGATTCTTCTTACAGTTACTATACAGCAGTTTATAATATGTGGGCTGGGACACAGTAAGTGACAAGGCAGGTCTTCAAGAATCAGAAGCCTACTTGAAGACACAGGTCCAATTTCTCCTGTCTTACACTCCATCCATCCCCATGCATTCAGGCCAGAATGTGCCCATAGACTTGAACAGAGCAAGAACAACTGTCATAAGATTAAAAGAAAAGGAGGACTTGTGGCACCTTAGAGACTAACAAATTTATTTGAGCATAAGCTTTCATGAGCTACAGCTCACTTCATGGGATGCATTCAGTGGAAAATACAGTGGGGAGATTTATATACACAGAGAACATGAAACAATGGGTGTTACCATACACACTGTAACGAGAGTGATCAGGTAAGGTGAGCTATTACCAGCAGGAGAGCGTGCGGGGTGGGGTGGGGGGTGGAGTTTGCCAACTGTGTCCACCTATCTATTCAGGAGACACCATCATAGGGCCTAATCACATCAGCCACACTATCAGAGGCTCGTTCACCT